CCAACTTTCTGAAGAGTTAATTTGAAGAATTCACACAAAAAATGTGTATATAGTTATTTTTAACTTCTAAGCTATTCAATCATATTGATTCAAATTTTGCAATATCATAATTATCATGAAATTTTCATAATTTCAGGTATTTTGGGTAGAAACAACCAATAAATGTTGTAATTATTATATAAATTTTTAAATCAATTTAGAATATTTTTGAATACAATAAATTGTTAAGTTGAAGGTACTTTACAAATACACGAATTACAATTTGAAATGTAAAAATTTGAATGTCCTTCACGTCCATAATTACAACAAAAACAAATCAACGCATTCATCGATACTAATGAATACATGTTGATTTTAATTAGTACATGGAGAATGTCTCGATTAAAATTACATTGTAATTAACTTCTATTTTGATTCGTTCCCCCCCATACGGGCTCAACTTTAGGGTCATCCCATCCATTGAATAAACTTAAATTCCTCTTGATTAGACTTATACATTTTTTTGATTATACTACAATTTCACAAACCCATATACACACAAATTAATAAGTATTGTATTTCTGCAATAAAAATAGCCTGAAATTATATTACTTACTAATACAATAATACTAAATAACAATTATATAATAATTCAATCATAAATTACATTTCAATATGTTTCTTTATTTTTTATGTATAAAAAAACACTAAACATAATCTTATTTAAAAGTTTGATTTATTGTTTTTAAAGGGCCGACATACATCGGCCAATAATCTCAGAAGCCACGCGAGTAACAAAATTACGAAATGATTGAATCAATGATTTTTTTTACAAAGAGTAATGAAATGAAACAACCATTCCACACTTGTGTGTATTCTCATCAAATTGGATTTGCATTGGAAGTAATTTACTACTCAAGGATAGAAACACAGTATTGAAACCAATTCAATCTAAATAGTTTAGGTAAATTAGTTTGAATCTAATATTGAGCCTCTTTATAAAATTAAATGTATTAATAGTAGCAAGTACAGGAATAAAATGTAATAAATCTATTTATTTTAGTACTTTATTATCAATTTATTATCAATTATGAATTTAGATCTTTTTATAATTTTGAAGCTTTGAACTGAATATATTTTCATGAACTGAAAAAGGAAAACCTCTTTTCCTTCTTATGAACTGAAAGGCTTTGATGAAGCATTTCAACATATTGAAAATGAATAGAAATTTCCTAGTAGCTCAAACTTTGAGAAAACTAGTAAAGTTTCAAAAGTTACAAAAAAAAATGCTTTCTATGATGAGAAAAAAAAGTTTCTTTGAAAATATCATTTCAATAAATCTTGAAATCTTCAGGAAGTAAGATGTAACAAATGTAGTATATTTTGATATTGAAAAATCACTTTTTATTTAATGCTATCAACCCATAGAAATTTTAATGTCAATTATAATTCGTACAATTTTATTTAGTATAGATTTTTAAACATTATAAGTTTCCAAGTTAAAAAAATTGTAAAAATTATATAGATTTACATAAAATTTTAAGGAAATTATTAATAATAATTCATATGTTTTTATTATATATGTTTAAAAAGTTTTTAAATAAAAAGCGCTTTTTTTTTTTCAAAAAAATGAGTAATGATATGTAAGAATATTTAAATGTAATTTCAGAAAGTTCTTTGTCTTCCCAGGGGAAACAAACCCGCGTGTATAATTTACTTAAATTGTTATAAACTTTTGTTGGTTTTAATAATGAGAATAATGGCGTGAGAAGCAGATTTAATTTGAAATATTAAACATGGGAACACTCGGAAGAAGGATTCATTAAAGCGAACAACAAAGTTGCCTTCAAGATTCTGCTTGCTTTTTTCGCCTTTGTCTCGTTTAACTGCACTTCTTGGAAGCGTAGGAGAAGCATTATCGTAAACTGCAGGAAACGGTAGTATATTTATTTATAAATAATATATCCGAACACGTGTTGAGTTCACCTCCAAAAACGAATTATTGTTTGATACAATTATTTACTTTTTTTGTTACCTGAGATAATTTAATAATATCAGCAAGATTGTTTTGTATAGTCCTGAGTGAAGTAACTCGATTACAATCCCTCTGGGTTGACTCTCTCTCTATTTTTTTTGTCTACATTCGAAAGCTTTGCATTGGGGAAATGAGAGTATCCGAAGGAACGTGCTCGTTGAAAAAAGTAATTGGTTCATTAAGACTTTTAATTAAATTATAATTCAATTAACCAATTGAAAAATAATTATTTGATTGTGGACAGGCATTCCTTTTAGATTGGTCCACTAATGGGATAATTCAATAATAAAAGGAACAATTAGGTTGTCACAGCGAAATTTGTTCCGGCAGTGCAATGCACTGGTCAATTCTTTCTCGTTTTATACGAAATGACTCTCAGTCGAATTCGCTTATACCGTTTAGCCGAATCGAAGAAGACGCGAACAAAAAAAAAAGTTAATGACTTAATTGCTTCGAGAATGCTTAATTAAACCCCGTTGTTTTATGTAAGGATGTTTTTTTTTGCTTCGTCGCCGTATTGATGGGCGTGTTAATTAGTTTTATAAAATCTCAATCGGAAAGTTTCAATGCTTGGGTATTAAATGGGCTGCGCTAGGGTTCGAGGGATGGCTCGAACCAACTACTCTTTGCTTTTCATGAAAGATTAAAATTTTTAATTATCAGACCAATGAAAGTTTTAATGACACCTTTCATGTAACCACTTCGGAAGTTCTCTTCCGAGGCTGAAAAGTGATGTGCAAAAAGTTCGTTCCACTCACCTTTCGGAATTGGCAAGTAGTCGGGAAGAGTGTGTGGCAATGGGGAACAAACAGAGAGAGAAAAAAATCCAAATGATTGATGCAGAAGCTGCAGAAGTGTGGCACAGTTTAATTAGTTATTTTTGGTTTTTCAAACTTTGGTGGTGTAGGTATGTATGTATGTCCATAGGAGGAGAGCACCAGTTTACGAATGCAGACGCGCGCGCTTTCCTTGTATCTAGTGGCACGAACCGCCCAACGCTATGGTTCGAAGCGAACTAAGCGCGTACAGAGCTGAAAATGTGTACGAGCAGAGTTAGCGCCACTCGGTTTACAGCTGTGTCTGCCTGTTTTCCCTTCTTTATCCGTTTACCACTCTTCCTATTCTAGCCCTCTCCCTCTTCTTGTGCTTTCAACTCGATGCCGACACTTGAACGAAGCCAAGAGTGCTTCTTCCACGCACACTCTTGCATCGCACAGGACTTATGAATTTTGTGTACATTTCTGCACGCATATTGTATGTATGTTAGCCCTTTCTTTCCACATCCTCATCCTACTCCTCCAACGTCTCGTGTATCTTCAGCCTTCATCATCCGTTCCAAACCGAAAACCAAATTGGCAATTCTGAAACGCTCTCATTTCCTCCTGGTAAACACGCGATGAATGCATCCCAAGAAGCGCGAGGCGTTCATATAAATAGATCATATTTGTCATGAGGGGATCATTAAAATATTCAACACTTTGCAAATCCAACGAATATTTTATACACTAAAAATATGCTCTACAAGTTTCTAACTATACAGCAGCAGCAGGCAGGCATTCACATCGAAAAAGACGTCGCTCGAAATATGCACGACAAAGTTCAACAGTCACCTTCCGATATAATAGATACGAATTCAATAGCGCATTTCCATCCTATACTCGCATTGATCAATTCCAAGTAAACATTTATAACAAAGTCTGCTGCACACTGCATCAAATTACAGCATAACATATTTCTAATAAATAATTATTACCACAAAATAATGAATATTTATTTAGAACTATAACAAATTACTTTCAGGCTTTTATTAGTTTTATCTACAAAACAAATTCACTCTTTCTTAAATATAAATTCAAAAAACAAATCAATGAAAAACTAATAACTTTATATATGTTTACATGTAATTTTTATAAAACTCGATAAAATTTAAAAACAAAAGCATACATTAAAAATTGAATTAATTTTATAACTCAATATTTTATTTAGTTAATAAAATGATTATTAGTACAAAGTGGACCATGAAACGGTTTTTTTTTAACACTTCATATAAGCTTTTCGACCTAATTGAGACATACGGAAATATAATATAGGCCTCTGGGATCGAAACTTTACGAAATACATCCACGTTGGTCTGTTGTATATCAAATGAGATCATCTCCAATTTTAACTACAAGTATATTAAAAAAAAAGAAACATAAAATATTTTATCAACACTAACTGAAATTTGTTGAAATAGAGTTCGTGATTTAATCCAAATCGTATCGGGCGGTTATGTCATGTGTAAACGGCGGCTAAGATGAAATCTATTTACTGGGACGATTATAATGGAAGATTTACATCTAGCATTAATCTGGGATATAGGACAGTTTCATTTAGAAGTAAATATACGTATCGAATAACCAAGCTTGTACATCCATAATTTAGGGAAATGCTTAAACGGAAATTATTCAACATTAAGTTTATGAAATTGTAGCATTATATTATAGTTGACTTTAATAAAAGTTAAAGTTAATACACAATTAATTTTATTATTTATTAATTAAAAGTAACAAATTTATCTTAAAAAATATAAACATATTTCGCTGTTAGTTTTGACTCTTGTCAATGTTTTGAATATTTCCTTTTGCCATTTAATAAATTGCTCATAGTTTTGTTTACAGCTGTTAGTTTATCATCAATTTAAACAGGAGTGCAAAAACGAACTTTTGTATTTTTGTAAAGGAATAGTTTAGGCTCATAAAGATATGTATAAAGTTATGATGCTGTTTGTTTAACAGAATATACGTTAAGAATTTTTTTTACTGAAGTTTATCATGACCGAATCAAAGTCGTAAGTGAATCAGATTTTCATATAACTGTGAAAGAGATTTCAGAGACCTTAAATGTATCAGACACAACAACTGAAAATCAACTCAATAGATTTATTATTCATTGAATACTACTTAAGGAATATGATAAACGTTTGTAGAAACATGGAGAAAATGAGTTATTCTTCAATTAAATATAAGTCACGTTAATCTGAGGAAATTGAATATTTATCTGCAAAGATACTTCTAAAATGTAGTTAACAACAAGTGCCTTGATCAGCATCGTGACCATTTAAACTCGCAAGCCAAAGATCCGCTAATAAAGCTGGGTAATAAAACATGAGCGCCTCCGGGCAATTTTCTATAGTCTTTTTATTTTACCTATCATAGGTATAATTAATTATTCTTTGCGTATACATTTATCTATAAAGTACAATGTTACTTAACATACTAAATGCGCTTACTAATATGAGACTGTAATATACATATTTCACAAACAATTGCTCATATATTGCTGTACCAGTTCCTTATATTTGTTAAAATTATGAAGTCCTTCGGTCGTGAATTTTGCATGAATGTTTTTACTGCAATAAATCGTGTATATTCAATTAGAGTAGCATTTTATTCGATACAAGTTGGCAAATAGTAAACAGCTTACCAATGTTAGACACATACATTTCTTGAGCTATAAAACTTAACTTTTATAGTTTAAATTTTATAGTAATAAATCAGTATAAAGATAAATGATGAAATTATTTTTGTAATAACAAAAAAAAATAAGATCATTAGAGCAAAAAAGAATAATATCACATGAAGAATCGCAATGTAAGTTTGAACAAGATTAATTTGTGCACGTTTTAAATACGCTTCAGTTCCATATCGTTACTCCACATAAAAATTATTAATCACTCGCCAGGTAACGTAAACTTAATGGAATATAATTGAAACCACTCACCTGAAACACAGACAATGCGGATTAAAAATTACACGTCGGATAAATACTTCTTCTTTTTTTTCCAAAAGATTACCATTGTTTTTTATTTTACCTCCATCTTCTCGTTCTCCACTTGCAGCAAAAAAGGAGAACCTTTTGTTCCATTACCACTTAAGAAAACACGAAAAGAGATCATCTCCATTAACATGCTATCTGACCTAGGCAATATACTTTAATTTCCTACATCAAATGACCATCATTTGTGATTTTGCAATCAAATTCATTCATCGAAATGTATACTATTTTTATTTAATTATAAATAACACATATAAAAAGGTGTATGGTATAAAATAACAAATGTAATTATATAATTCGATACAATAACAATAACTGTTTTTTGTTCACACGCTCACGGATAAAATAATTGTTTTCAATTTCCAATCGAAACATTATTTCCGCAAATAAGTATGTTATTTTTATGCTGTTGAAATGATTGTATAAATCAATTTTCCATTTATTCGGTAAAATTTGCACGTGTTATTCATACAATTATATTAAAAAATAAACAAAGCTTGTTCTATACGTGAATTACATCATGTATTAAATTTAAAAAAAAAAACTATTTTTATGTAGATATTAATATAGTTGGCTTTTATAATGTAATATTCTATACATATTGGCAGCAGGAAATTTTTTGCATAGTTTATCATAAACCTGTTTGTTTATAATGTTCAAGACATATTATAGGGAATGTATTTGAAATTGAGGTTTTCTAATGATGTATCTGATATAAGTTTTTTAATTTGTCTTATTTTAATAAATGTTTTAAGGTTTTAAAGGTTTAAAAGTTTTATATATAATTCTTAATAATTCCTTGTTAGAATGTTGAGAATGAATTATTTATGTAGCAGGTCAATTTGACCTGATTGTAGTGTGAGCGTTATATAAAACAATAATGGATAACAATAAATTTAAATTTTGAACAAAATCAACATTACTTTTTAGCATTTCATGATATGTTTTTGTCCCTACTGTTGATATATACAACGCATTCCAAGTATTTATAATTATGAACTTTATAATTAGAATTGTTGACGCAGTGGACTAAAACTGAAAACGAAAAGGAAATTGCATAATGCAGGAATTGTATAATATACGACATAGCTGTATTCCCATGGAGGGAAAAAGCAAACATCTTTATTATTTTCTATGAATTGGAAATGAAACCGGGTCGGATCGATTGCATTAATATGTCGACGTGGAATTCATTGTGTTTTGTTGGTTCCTCGGTGTTTTTATCCGACCGCCGGATTTTGTGCGTTCTCTCCATTTCCTCTGCCTGTATATTGTTTGTTGTTTTTCTATCCCCCGATGAACGAAAACACTCTCCCCATTCAGAAACCTAATCTACTTTTTCATCCAATATAAGAAAATCCGAAATGAACCTCTAATATATTTACCACTAATTCATATTACCAACAACATACTAGATCTATTAGCAATTTGATTTTTTTTTACAAGATTTCATTTTACTGCCCAAATAGCCGTGAAATCACATACAAATCTCCTATATTAATTATATATGCTTCGCATTTTATGCACGCATTAAAATTTGTATTTACGACTTGTTTATCAAGCTTCATACTATATAATTCATAATAAATCTAGATAATGAGAAATTACATTGCATTTCGTATTTAATAATTAATTACGACTTGTGTTTCAATAGAAATATGACATAAAATACAGAAATACATATTCAGAGAAAATGCATTAAGCGATTCAAAACAACTTGGAAAGTTCGCTTGAATTTAAAAAGAGCAAAATGCGTTTGACATTCAACGTTCTGAAAATAAGTTACAATCGTGTGTGTATACCAATTTTTTTTTGTACGTTGTTACCAAGAGAAGATTAGTGACAGCACGAAAGATGCTCAGCTTGCTTTTGAAACACTATGTGATTAACTCTTTAATCATGTCATCACAATCCAAGTATTTCCAAGTAAATATTAACACACGCTATGGTAATCATCCGATTTTTAACAAGTGGTTTTTAAGGTGCATGTGTAGTCAATGGGACGGAATTAAATTAAGCGAAAGAATGATTAGTAGTATGCCAGCAAACATTCAAATTATCCAATTTGTTTACATTTTTGTTCTCATCTCTAATATTTATAAATACAATCTTAGTTTTGGCTAATAATTATAAATTTTCAGAGTATCCTAAAGTAATCTTTAAACTATGACTAATTGAAGGACAACAATGTTGCTTATTTACCAAGTACTACATATAATGCAATGACTAATAGAGATTTTAGATT